GTGAAGGTACTTTTGACGATGAAACTTCAGACGATGTTATTTGTGGCGGAGCTCCGGTAGCTCGTGAAGGCTCTTTTACTGAAGGAGCTTTAGAAGATGTTATTTGTGATGGAGCTTCAGTAGCGTGTGAAGGTACTTTTGCCAATGGAACTTCAGATGATGTTATTTCTCGCGGAACTCCGATAGCTCGTGAAGACTCTCTTGCAGAGTCAACTTTAGGCGATACAATTTCTGGGTGTGTTTTAGTAGAATCTGAAGCCATACTTGTAACTGGAACCATAGACGGCGTTGTTTGTGGTGAAGATACAACAGTGTGTGAAGGCGCTTCTGAAGATGGAACTATGTCTGGCGTTACTTCTGGCGGAGCTCCGGTAGCTCGTGAAGGATGTTTTACAGAAGGAGTTATTTCTGGTGGAGCTTCGATAGTTACTGGAGGAATTCGTATAGATGAAACCTTAGATGCTGTCACTTTTAGCGGAGCTTCTACTGACCCTCCTTCAGGTGTGCCCTCACGTACTACTGTACGTGAGGGCACTTTTAAAGATGATGTCTTACGAGATATCTCTCCTTGCAATCTTTGGGTAGCGGCTGAAGTAGCTTTTACTGATGGGGTCTTTGAGAGTGTGGACTTCGGTACCTGTGAAATCTTTCTTGTCGAGGATTCAAGCAATGGAGAAGGTGGTTCTAAAACTTTGATCGTGTCTGTCTGTGTTTGTGTAGCAGTAGAAGCCACTTTAGGTTGTACTTGAGTAGCAATTTCTTGCGGAAGAAGTGATGCTTGTTTTTGTGAAGACTTAGGAAGAAAGACAGATATTTTCGATTCTACCTTAATAGGTTTATTCGCAAATGATTCTGTTTTCTCTGACTTTAGTTGTGAAATTAATGAAGGTTCTTTCAAAGTTCCTTCTTGTACAGGCACTGTGTCACTAGGTACTTTAATTGACCGTCGGGAAACTGCTTTCGGTTTTTCTTTGGGTAGAAACTTTGGGGCGCCATGTTCTTTAGCGGGCGGTGGTTTTGAACTCTGTAAGTCACAATCACATGATTTTAGAAGTGGTTGACAGTCACAAGACTTTATTGCTAGTCGTGCTTGAGAATCAGTTGACGATCCTGTCATTTCCTTTGTACGGCACACACACGCCTTTTTACCACCCGGTTTACAATCACAGGACTTTCTAGGCGCTGCTGTTGTTTTTGTCTCACAGTCGCATCCTGTAAAACTTGTTCCGCAGTTACATGGAGTAGATGTACAGGAACAGGGTTTAGGAAATGGTCCGCATTTACAAGGATCTGGCGGTGGCTTACAGCCACAGGCTTTGGCAGTAACTGTATCAGTTCTGTTCTGTTCTGTTCTGTACTGTTCAGACTTTTCTGACTGGCTATCTTCTTGATCCAGTGGTTGGGATATTTTTTTCCAACGTTTCTGTGTTATTTGTGTGTGTACATCTGAACCTGATTTCTTGCATGGTGAATTCGGTCCACACAAAGGGAACTGAAATATATTTGGTATTTGCAGTTTACATCTTCGCAATGTCGCTAGTATATCCTGGTGAATAGAATTTGTGTGAGTGTCTTGTATAGATCCACTTCGTTTCTTAGATTCCAAGTCCTCATTAGAAGTATTATCTTTTTGATCAAAAGAAGATTCTTCAGTAGATAAAGTCGACCCGAGATTAGATGAAGATTTTTTGCTGTTACGTGAGCTTGTCTCTTCCCGTGATGAATCATTTTGAGGATGGAGCGTAGTTTGTATTTGCGTGTCTTTACCGCGGAACATTGTTATGGATTTTGTCGATTCATTAAATTTTAGTTTCGTTGGTGGCTTTGACGTGCCTTTGGGTTTGTTGCAGGGTGCGTCACCTCCGCACCTGGTGCGATTGTCGCGATTAGTTGAAGTTGATTTTCTGCAAGGCGCTTTGTATCCGCTTGGCTGTATTTGTAGCCAGTACCGACGAGATGTTTTTTTGCACGTAGCGTTAGTCGCGCAAGATGATTCGAGAAATTCTGGTAATTGTGTTAGGCATGGAGTTCTAAATCCACATTTTGACAAAATACTTTTGCAAGAAGAACGCGATTTATAAGTGATCAAGTTACCAAATGCTTGATAACGCTGGGATATATTTATAGACTTATTTGAAACTGGTACATCCAATGCAGCGTCTGATCCTGGTATAGACTCACTATCAGATGCAGCTTCATAATCAGACATTGATTCAGTCGATTGCTCAGATTTCTTAGAGGTATATTGTTTCTTCTCTGAAAAATTTCCATTCTTCAATTAAAATCAGCAGTAGACAAAAAATCGGCCAAGTACGTATTCGAACAATCATAAAGTAGGGTTCCGTAGTCGTCGTCACTCTCTCCCTAAGTGCTGCACGCACTATAAACGTGTTGACATGTAAAAAATTGCGAAAATATCTAAAAATTTAAAATTGCTTTCTAGTACACGACAGATTACGGAATAAATTGATACAATAATTAATAAGTTCTTGTTAATAAAAACTAACGAACTTATTAAAAATATAAGTTGCTCCGCCATACCTGATAAGTAATAATTAAATATTCGATAGGTCGAAAATTAATAGCAAGAGGTTGGGTATTACAGAGATTTAACAATAAGTAAAATTTCTGATAAAAAGTGGCGATAACTAAAATATCGAAATCAGTTCTTCAGGCTCCAGCGCGGGCAACTTCCAAACGAAGAACATCCACTTTATCAGTTGCATATCTCATAAATGAGTTTATGACTCTTGGGATTTTTTTAATTTAAATTAAAATTGATGTTATATACTTCATTTAAACATTGTCGTATAAATAATATATAAAAATAACTTTGCTTTTTAGAATGACACATCAGAATGCATTTAAAATAAATCACCCCCGGCAGGTGGACTAAGACAAACTAGAGTTCAATAACGAAACGTAATCCGCACTCTACAGCACCAATGACACCGACATTGAAAACTAGATCAGCTTTTGAAATTTGATTAGCTTTCCCTGTGTGTGCAAACGGCACACTGTAAGATGTCCACAAACTTTCAATACATATATTACAGAACAACGACGATGGTATCTGCTGGAGTGAACTTAAATTAAGATTCTTTTATAGGTTTGAATCAACGCGTTACACAAATTACAAATGCACCTTTTCTTTCAAAAACATCCTTACGCTTTATAGAAACATGGGTCATAATTATGCATTCGTTATTGTATTATGTGTTACATTTCACTCACGTTTTATAAACCAGCTAAATATTTGCTGAGATTACAGTTGTTTGACACCGAAAGTGAAGTAAATTTTTTTTTCATTCATCAAATTTTTTCAATAACCACCTTATGAATATATATCAAATATATTACAGAGTTGTTTTATTTACAGCGAATGAATTAAAGGTTAAAGATGCAATTCTTCTCAACAGTTTCGATTGGAATAACAGGCGACACAAAAGTAATGTCATAATGCGTATTGGTTACAACTTTGTTAGAAATGAAAAAATAAGCTTTGTTTTCACGAAAGTTTATTTGAAGATGCAAAATTGATGACACTGAGTTGAATAAACTGTATTGGTCAAATGACCATCTCCCAAGTTGTTGCTCATTTGTTAACCTTGGTGCAAGAAGAGAATGATTTCGTATCCAAAACCATAATGAGCGACGAAGTCCATTTCCACTTAAGTAGTTAAATTATCAAACAAAATTTGTATTTCTGGGGCACAGATAACCCACATGAAATGCAAAAAGAGCCATTGCATCCCCTCAAAGTACCTGTTTGGTGTGGCATTTGCAATGAAAAGGTGATAGGCTAATTTCTTTTTGAGGACGCCGATAGAACCACCGTAACCGTAAATGGTGAGCGTGTGAGATACCAATTTTCGGGCCGAGTGATCTCCCGTTTTGGAGATTTAAACTGACCGTCTAGAGCGCCAGATCTAACGGCGCCAGACTTCTTCCTTTGGGGCTTATTGAAATCTCGAGTTTACCACAACAAACTTCAAACCTTCTGAAAGCTAACATTAACGAAGTAATCGCCAATTTAGAGCAAGATGTTTTGCGAGCAAAAATTAAATCGACTAGAATTGTATGTAAGCCCGGAGGTGGTCGTTGGAACGGTATAATGTTTGAACATAATGTCATTAATTTTACATCTTCAAATAAACTTTTGTGAAAATTAGCTCATTTTTTTTTCATTTCTAACAAAATGGTTGCCAATACACATTATGACATTAGTTTTGCACTACCTTGTAATTACACTATCTACTTATTTATGAACGGGTTAAGGATGATGTGCATCCCCCGTAAAGGAAAGCGCGCCAGGGATAGCGGTCGAGCTTGATATGTACTTCCAGCAGCCTATCCTGTTGGTGCAAGTTAGCCGTTCATATTTATGTGCTTATCACAGTTTGTACAGTTACATGCATGAAATTTTGCATAAAGATGCTTCAGACAGAGATCTACGGAGATCTTAATGGCAATATGTAAAAATAATTGAAGTTTCTGATGGTAATATCTTCCATTAAAACACAAGGTAGGAGTAACTTTCGCCGCGCATGTCATCATGTCGGATACGAAGTAGTGTTTTCGTTCTGCTAATACTTTCGGTTAACTTGCATCAACAAATTCAAAAAAGACCATAAAAACATCGCGAAATAGACTCCATACTAACTATACCAATATGCAAACAGGACAAATGTTGTCGCTGTAAAAATACGGAACCCTACGTTACGCGTGATACGCACTTGGCCAGTTTAAATGTTTGGGATAAATTAAAATTGAGATCATCGTGTGAAGCATATTTATGTGCAAAATTTCAAGCACGTAGCTGTTATAGTCTGCAAACTGTGGCCTGATAATGTGTTCATGAACAATTTGACATGACCTTGTTGGTAGAATTTAGCTTCAACTTTGTAGCATTGCTGTTACGGAATATAAAGTAAAGCCCGTACCAACTTGTAGAAAAAAGATGTAAAATTTATTTATTTATTTAAATGTAAGAATAATATGAAAAGTAAAAACTTACTTGAGACACGCCTTGCAGTTAGCATTCGTGGTTGCGCTGTAAAGCCAGACAACGAAGCTGTCACTGTAAATAATGAAAAATAATAATACTTTAAACGTATGGGTCATAATTTAAGTCTGATTTAAATATATAAATAAAAAATAAATATAAAATTAATTTATTTGTGTTTATTACATCGTTACGTAATCGATGGCTGCAGGACTCAGAAAAAAATTGTCTCTTGAAATTCTTACTTCCATTTCAGTGTAAAGGTCTACTAAAATGAGCTGGACGATCAGAAGAACTATACTCTAGCCAAATTCGATGTAGAATAAATGTCAACAAACGAAAACATATGATTTTTAGGGTTTTCATCTCAGACTTTTTCACAGTTACCACAATTTCAAAGTTTTCCTACGAAATTCGACTAGATTATGAATAAACTAAATATTGAAGTTATGTTTATAATGAATATTATTCAACAGAAGTTTCAAATCACCTAAAAACGATATAAAAATGACCAGTTATTAATTATTTGTAAAACTGTGTCATCCCGAGTAACTTTTTGATTTGAAGGTAGAGATTGTAAACATTCGACTTCTGGTGGTAATTAAAGTTCAGAATCGGAAATAGATGCTGGATGATATAGTATGTAGTAAATTAATTTCAAATAAAATCTTACAATTTTGTTTCTTTTCATCTACCATTACCTACCAATTACATTACCTAAATATTAATAGGATGCAAACACTTATTTTTATTCCTAAATCATACGTATCAATAGATATTTTGTAAACTTTATAATAATTGGCCAGGTAAGTATTACTTCTACATAACCCAATTACCTACTTACCTATTTAAATTCAAATTAAGGGAAGCAGGTCGTGGGCAGAGAAAGCCTTAATAATGAGAATTGAAAAAAATGTTCTTTTCCTATGCCATCATTGGTTGCCTAGCAACGTTTTGTTATTAAATATTCTACATTGAATTTGGCTAGAGTTATAAACATAATCTGAATTTCCGAATATACTTTAGGTCTCATTTGGTGACTTTATAATAATTGAGTATGGGGTTTGTAACAATAACATACATTACTTACACTACATTATTTACATTTGCTGTAACCACACTCAACCGTATTTAACATACTTGATGCATGTAATATAATTGTACAGTTATATTATCTGCGTGTGATGCACTTTGGTGGCATGGCTTACTGGGTTGCGATCGCTTACCATATGGTACTGGCAGAAAGCCAGCACTGTTTGACTTTTCATAGTCCACTATATATACGCTGAGTTAGGGCCACAAGTGTTGCGAATTGGTACGAGCAGTACAAAATTGTTTTTCTCTATAAATATGTGTAATAATTTGTTCTATGTGCTTTTGTGCGACACCTTGTGAAGTGATCGTAAATGTTTGTGTGTGCTGTATGTGTGCGCGTGTGTGTTTGTGTTTGTGTGTGTGTGTGTGTGTGTGTGTGTGTGTGTGTGTGTGTGTGTGTTGAATCGCTTTAAAATTGTATTAACTACGTACCTATACGATGATAGAAGAGCTGCAGTGACTTTGAAGGCGCCTTTATAGTTGAATACGCTCTAAGAGATATCCATTCCGCCATTTCACAATATACCTACTCAGTGTATTGTAGGTAACACAATATCCTATGTACTAATTAGTAACTATTATTACCTTGCACTTTCACTGGTCGTTGCGATGGTAATGTTTGGTCTCCTGGAATATAAAGTGAAAATACTCATTTCATGAAAAAAATACGTGCTTTATGGATTGGTTCACATTTAAGCTGGTGACAGTACCTACTAACAGGCTAACAACTTTAACAAGAAAGCTTTTTCTGGTTAATCTGTACGAAATCCTCTAAATTGGGTTATTTAAGGCTACAGTGAATAGATATTTATTAGTTTTTAGCCAAATGCAAAACACTTATGGGAGGCTACCAACGCAAAAGTGGTATATCTCATATTAATTTTTTTTATACAATATTACTTTAAATGGACATAGTTATGCAAACTAGAACCAACCCACAAAATGTCACTGTCGAGATAATTAGATTTTTGTAAAAACAGTGTGAAGAAATAAATAAGTAAGTTATTTCAGACAAACAATGTGAGTTATGCGTAGCTTTGAAAATGATATAGGGAAACTATTATATTATATAGCAATAAATAGAAAACATTATGTAACTTTTTATTTAGTTAACGAGAACCATATTCTAGTTTTGTAATGAAAACGCTAAAGATCTACAGTACTTCAGTATATGTGACGTGGAGCCATGTAGCATATTATTTTAAATAATACATTATATGAAGTTAAGCAGCACGGTTCTTTTTAGCTATTAAAAGGTTATTTATTTAGGATTGGTACCCTGAAGGACTTTTATTTTCTCAGTTTTGGCTATTTATAATATATTTTGGTATATTGCCAGGATCTTTTGTGAGCGGGTAAAGGACACGTCTGGTGTTCAATCTAAATACATAACTCAATTTCACTCCGAGTGTGGGTTGGTTCTTGTTTGCATAACTACGTCCAAATGAATAAATTATATAATATATTTGGATCATTGACTTACAAATAAATGGACGACGGGTCTAATACAAAAACCACGAAAAAAATGTGCCAAGTCAACCTATTCGAAATTTAAATTGTAATGTCATCGCAGTATCGCGCTGTCAGTAGAACAAATGAAGACTAAAGCGGAGTGTCGCGCTCTGTATACGATTTTAGCGCCTTACAAGTGCGGACACTTTTTAGCGCGGACCCGACGTACGTATAATTGTAAGTCAATGATTTGGGTGCTATATTTATGTATGAAAATTTATACACATTTATTGTCATATATATGATTTGATTACTTTACATGAAATAAATGATATATGTCTAATTTTTAGTAGCTGTAAAAAATCGTTACGAAAGAGTTCGTCTAAGGAAATACTGCCACTTTGCTTATTTCTACCGCCAAACAGTAATGTGAGCATTACTGCGTTCCACTTTTGAAGGGTAGGGGTGCTAGTGAAATTGCAGGCACATGTCACTTGTCAACTCACGTCTTAGGGAGACGGGCGCAGTGGCAGTACCCCTCCGATATTTGCATTTCAAAGCTCTGTGTGGCACTTCAACTGTTATGTACAGGCGTGTCGCTGACCACCAGGCCCACGACTTGTTCGTCCCGTCACTTGCACTCTACATGCGTTTCATGGTGTTACACCACTTTTGGGCTGATAGCCTCAATTATTATAATGAATAGTATGAAATAATATTTCAAGATACCTAATATCCTACTCGGAATATTTACTAACAAAATTTGCCACGGAAATTAGGTAGTGAACTCTAACCCGAGAATGAATGTTATAAGGTCAACGTTTTGATCAAAAAAATTTTATTTACCAGTAGAGAACATTTGTTTTGGCATTTGGTGGCGAACTTTGTGTCGTCGATGTTTACAACAGTATCCTTTCTGAGTACTTTCTGTAAAAAAAAACACAATGTCAGTATGCCTACACCCATACCATAATTATAATAATACAATAACTGTAAATCCATAGGAACGTAGAGTTGCGACTTATACGGACGCCATTCGCATTATCTCGTGGTGCATTCTCGTTGCATAGCGCGGATCGTCTCACACGCCATGCAATATAGAATGGAAAGAAAGAAAGAAATAAAATAGATATATTTCTTTACCACAATGACACCACAAAAGAAAAAAAACGAAACTAACCTAAAGAAAAACAAAACAATCAAAACATTCAATATAAAATAAATAATTACGAAAAAAGCACAAATAAAACACAAAATTATAAAAAAATTAGATTAAATTAAAACACAAACTATTTACACAAATAGTAAAAAGAACAATAGATATAAAGATACTTTGTGTGACATGGTAACAAAAGGGTCATAAACTCAGTGTAGAATATAGACTAAATCTGTTGCGGTCTTTGGCATAGTCGAGCGCATCATGGATACCCATGCCTAGAAACGTATAAACTTGGTTGGACCATCTTGTGGGTCGATCCGTCTGATGACTATTAGTCGTTCGAGATCGTGCCCTTCTTTCCTGGCGACGTGCTCCATAGACTAACATATTGCTCCCGGGACAAAACCTTTGGTACTGTCTGCATGGAGGCGTTTGCTTTTTGAAATTAATTGTTTCCTCCTTCGTAGAATCCACCCAGCATTTACCCGTTAAGCCGGGTACTTACTTGCGAGCTCTAACCGTTGCATATTATATTACCATAATCTCAGTATAGAGTAGTAAAAAAATCTTCATGCGCGAACAGCCACCCTTAGAGGTAGAGGATTTTCTTTAAAATTATATAGGACCACTATGGAGATGCCCTCTCTCCAACAAAAAAGAATCATAAAAATCGGTTCACAATTACCAGAGTTATCGCGTAACATACATACAAAAAAAATACTATCGAATTGACAATCTCCTCCTTTTTTTGAAGTCGGTTTAAAATAGCGTGCACGTGTTTCGCGAGTTTGCCGTGAGCTGAACGCGTGGTGCATATCGCAGTGACCCGACTCCAACCAGTAACGCTAGCACGATAAGGCGCGACTTCAGCGAGATCGATATAAAGCGCTATGTCGGAAGTCCTGGCCTATTGTGCTTGCGCTACAGAGATACTCATTCTTACGAGTGTAGATTGTTTCACGCATACCATTAGAACCTCGTTACTGTATCTGTCTCGTTACAGTTCGCTAAGGGAGTCACCATACTTATCTATTAACGCAGAATCGCATTAAACCGCTCAGAAAAAGATTTACGTCCATGAACATAAAAGCGAAAAAGACGTTTGCGTTTCGCATCGGTTCGTGCGAACGCGGTTCGACACAGGTCAGCAACGAATCTGCTTCCTGCGAATTTCCGATCAAGTCCGTTCGCATGCCGTCGACAGGCGATCCTGGTCAAAAACAACTATCGCGACGGCGCGCGAACGGCCGCGTTGACGGCGAATCTGCTTAATGCGACAAGTATGGATAAACACGATCGCATTAAGACGATTCCACGTTATTACGTTTGGTGACTCCCTAACGAGTACCAGGCTTTAAATGAGATTTATGAGCATAATAATATGTTTCATCCATGAACACAATATCTCTCGTTCGAGATCGGTTTGTTTTTGTTTTTTTTAAATTTTATTCTTTTTAATCGTACGTCATCTTTTTTTAATGGGCATTGTTCTATTATTTGTAATTTTCTTGAATCGAAAACTTATCTGGCGTAGTATCTTCTTTAATGTTAAATCATAGCCTTTGAAGTAAACTGCTTATTATAATATCAGACTTTTATCAGCAGTAGAGCTTCTTGTGAAAGAGTTAGTCCAGGGAAGTAGAGTTACCTTACCTATTTCTGCCGCCAAGCAGTAATGTGAACATTACTGCGTTCCAGTTTTGAAGGGTCGGGGTATCGGTGAAATTACACAGATCTGTACGATTTAACGCTTTGAGTAGCACTGCAACTGCCATGGACGGGCGTGTAGCTTACGACCAGACACGACTTGTTCGTCCCGTTACTTAAATATTGTGACATTCAAATAATTTCACGGTGTTGTATTACCATGTTTGTTCGAAAATTGCTTTCAGTGCCATAGAACATGATCGTCCGTCCGTACAATAGCATAAAACTAAAACATGACAAAATTGTACCTAATCTTACAAGGTTAGGTACATCTCTATTTCTGGTTACATACTACAGTATATAACCAGATTTAGAGACGAAATGTCATTTAACTTGTTTGAACTAGGGAATTAACTAACTAGGAAATTACTTGAAGGTACTACGAGCACGAAAGCAACGGAATTTACTCTGGGGCCCCTCGACTAGAACCAACTCCCCAAATTGGTTCTACCGGGAATCGAACCCTCGTCCTCCATTTTCCATCCAGCGCCCACAGTGTAAACCGAGGTCGTCGAAGCTTTATGTGCCGTGGGCTGTACAATTGACGAATTGGCCATTAGACTCGGTTTAGCCGGAAACGATTGGAAATATAAGATAACTTGAATAGGTAAGGATTATAAAAGGAAACTAAACTAAAATTGTCTAAATTATCGCGCAACCGCACGAACAAGTGCACAACCTTCCCACTTATCGCGAATTCCTGTTCTCTTTAGCTTAAAATTACAACATTTGCTATGGCGGTAAGGGATTTATTACCTGCTATCGTATTTGTTACACTGATTCGACAACATGAACTACTTGTCAGTGCTGCAATTTCTGTAACAATTAAAATATTCAAACATTCATTCAGCTTCTGCAAATGCCTAACACTTTAGTACGGAAACAACGTTCAACACGGTCCTACTCAAAGGTCTGACTAGGTACTATACAGAGTGCTTTATTAAATACGACAGTATGAGGAAATCCGAAATAGAAGATGCAAGGGAACTGTCGTAGGAACTATTAAGTAACAATTTTGGCATAGTCAATATTTTATTAATAAAATTATAGACTCTGACTGATAGACTCAGTTTATAATAAGAATCATTTTATTGTATTGGATGAAAAAAGTCAAGACTGAAATTTATAAAAATGTTATTCATTTTGTATGAAAAATATTTTTTATTAAATTTTACCAACTTCTGCTGTACTATTTTTTTTCTTCCGGTATAATGAAGTTACCCTTATAAGAAAAAAACTGACTCTATTAGCATAAAAAAACAATTGTCACTTTTATAATTTTGTGCGTAAAAATATTTTATGAAATTTAACCAACTTCTGCTGTCCCCATTTTAAAAAAATGTAATGTAAAGGGGTCTTCATGAAACTCAGTAAATCAGCGAAAATTAATCAATTTTGTTCATTTTTATGGAAAACTCACGTTTGACCAAGAAAGGCATAGTCAATGCCAAAATTGTTTTTACAAAGAAAGTCTTAGGGCGCGTTCAAATTAGCCGCTGTTAGAAGCGCAGCGGGCGGGCGCTCGTCGCGCTGCTGAAGTGCGACCAAATGTTTAGTGATGTTTATCTTTCGATTCAGTTACGCCATGGATTCTGACGAAGAAACATTACTTTTACCTATTTCTTGGGACACACACTTCACATGCAGGTTTTAAAATTACTCACCTGTTATGTTTTTTCAGTTTCAAAATTGTCAATAAATTTTAGACATAAATGTTCCCATACCTTTTTTATCCAGTCGATTGGAAGGAATAACTGTCGGAACTGCTATCCCATATTGTAGGGTGTTGTTTTACATTCTCTATAAATTGTTCAATTCGATTTTCATCGATCGTGGTTAATATAAAAAATTAACATGTACACCTCAACGGGTTTCAGCGCTTCTAGAAATTGTGTGAAAAGTGGCGGTCGCGAAGCGGCCGCGGTGCTGCAGCGCGTCTAACAGCGGCTAATTTGAACGCGCCCTTAAGGTTCCTAAGACCGTTTCCTTGTTACATTTTTATAGTTTCCTAGTTCCATATTGTCCCATTCAAAAAATACTGTGTACTGATATGTCTGTTTGGTTGTAAACAGGCCTTCGGTATTAAAATTGCATGAATCAAGAGCTTCTGGTTACATTCACACCCACATTTATTTAAACGTCTTATTTTTAGCTTCACCAATCACCGTACCGATATAGTATAACAACACAGGTATGATAACAATATAAACATAGCAACGTGGCATGTGTGTGTGCACGTCCGCCGCGTGCCGTGTACGAACGCTCGAATTCACAATAAGCTCGCGATGCCTTCGACTTCGCGTTGCATAGCGCTGGTCGTCACACGAGCCTTTCAATATTATACGAATGTGTACATCCGTACAGGGCGCGCGGCGGGCGTGCACACAAACAAGTCGCGCTGCTATTTTGCATGGAGTTACCATACTTGTCCTATTGTACTATGGTGACGATTTGTGAGAAAACGGCAACTTACGCGTCAAACAAGGGTACCTTCCGGAATCGTCCTTTATAGCGACAAAAATGATTATCTCTCGGATTGATAAGCGTTTGGAAACCTTCAAACAGTTATAAATTCTATCGAAGTCTGTGTAAGTCTGCCATACAATCGGTGTGGATGTAAAGGCTTTACATACGAAAGGTATGTAATTTTAATATTTTAATTTGAAAATTTAGTAGCAGTAGAGCTCCTTGTGAAAGAGTTCATCCAGGGAAGTACTGCCGCCTTACGTATTTCTGCCGCCAAGCAGTAATGTGAGTATTGCTTCGTTCCGGTTTTGAAGGGCAAGGGTGTTGGTGAAATTACAGGCACATGGGACTTTTCAACTTATGTGTCAGGGTGATGGGCGCAGAGGTAGTGCTCCTCAGATCTTTGCGATTTAAAGCTCTGAGTGGCACTACAACTGTTATGGACAGACGTGTCGTTTACTATCAGATGCATGACTTGTTCGTTCCATCACTTATTATCATAAAAAAAAAGGTATTGCAGAATTAACAAACGTGAGCTGGAGTGCCTAACGCCGCAGTTTTCGCACACGATACTTTTAGCATCGACGTTCAGCGACTTATTGGCTTGAATTCCAGATAAATTACTATTTTGCGGTTACGAAATCGCACATGTTCGGGGGTTTGATAGCGTGAAGCCGATCGTCGTTCATCAACGCTAAAGTACCGTACGAATCGTACAGGACGTGTAATCAGAGCAGTGAACAGCATAAAACCGCATAGCTAGGCGTATAATAACCGAGGAAAAGTTTGAAATAAAATTTCCAATGTTGTAGTTTGTGCTACGATTATGTAATATTATTTTATGGTGTTTACCTTGCGTATCCACTGATTGATCCAAGTAAGCGGAGTTTTGCAGAAAGTCGTCATCATCCTTCGATTCTATGTAATTTTCGGCATCTACCATGAACGATGGTCCGAAATCTGGATTTATGGAGTCTGCATATTCTGTGTTTGCATATTGTTGATAGCCGTACGTCGGGTCTACGTATCTACCTCCACTATAGCCTTGGTGTATATATTGTAATCCACCATATTCTGGTGCGCCATAATCTGGACTCGCATATTCCGCTCCTTCGTAATTTGATGGGGAAAATTCTAATCCTGGGTATTCTAGTCCTGCATACGAACAGTACCCATACGTCTCTTCTGCATAATCTTTTTTGGAGTAGTCAGCATCTAAGTAATCTCCTTCGGTGAGTACAGCGTCTGAGCAACTAGCCAGGTGAATTCCAGTTTCCTCAGTATTCACTATAATCAAACGGAAAAATATTTACATAGGTAACAGACAGTTGACGATTTATGCTCCTACGCGTAGTACTGCCCTAGTAACCTAATGGGTGGACCTACCGCTTCACAAGCACACGCCGTGAGTTCGAATCTGGGCTCGGTGAAGGAAAAATCGTGATGAAACGTGCGCGTCAAAGAAGGGTTATCAACCCGCAAAAAACGTGCGAGGTCCCCAACCGCATTGGCCAGTGTGGTGGACAATTCAATTCAAAACTTTATTTCGGACAAAATATCCATATAGTCTTAGTAACAAAATACTTAAAAACGATGTTAATATAAGTCCTCTAAACATTGACATGTACCCGTACCCACTGATATAATATGGGCCCATCGTTATTATCGGCCTCTGCACGAAGAAGGCCATTGGCGCTGCCCGCACTCTACGCATTAGTGACCCTACCCGCTTCCCAAAATGGCACTAAAGCAGCCCACTTGCGCCCCGGTAAACATTCCCGAAGCGCTACAGTAGCACGGCAACCCTAAAACAATTCTGAGAGTGTCATTATACTGGACGCACAGGGCGCGATACGCTTTCTGTGTACACCTACTTGACCCACAAGCTGCATGTGTAAAAAGATTGGTAAAATGCTTTAAAAAGCGTGAGTTTCACGGTTCTAGTACAACTTGCAAACCTGCGGGCTGCCAACGCCCTGTGCTCCCTGTCAATGGTTGGATTAGGGGTGTTTCAGCGGGTGGGTTAGGTGATCGGTTAGGGGGTGGGTGATGGGCTGGGTGAGTGGGTTTGAGTGGGTGGGTGAGTAGGTGGGTGAGCGGGTGAGTGGGTGGGTGAAAACTTGAGTGAGCGGGGGTGTTGGGAGGATAAGCGGTGAGTTCTTAGAACAACTAAAAAAATTGCGACGTGTCGCAATTGATTTAATTGCAATTGATTTCAATTGAATTAATTTTCTAATCTGATTGAATTTCTGATTGAAATTTAAGTGATTAACGCCCAACACTGCTTTCAATGCACAACAATGTAGATCGTGCTCGTACATCTTAGATAATTTTGCAAAATTTTAGTTGATATAGATTTGAAGGTTTTCGTGGTTATTCACTCAATGAATATCAATAATAGGAAATATTGGAAAAATAAAAAGAAATTATATCGTGGTAAGAAACCTGTAATTAGTGATCACCATTTTGGTTGATAGTAAAATAAATACTTTTTTTACTCTTCTTGAGTATACACACAATAGATTAAACCTCACGATATGAGCACAATGACATACATTTCTCGTGTTCCTACCAATGGGAGTACCCAGTGGGAGCATGTGGAAACGGTACTCAAAGCACAGGCCACAAAAAAAAAAACAAAAATAGTATAAATTAGTACTAACGTAATTCGGGTTTATTCCCAGTGATCTGACACGCGACCCCTTCACACTCGAAATTGCAGTCTTCTTCCGGCACTACCATCGAACATGTCGACATTCCACCTGCAAATTTACATCGTTACGACGTGATATCTTAGGCTCCGAAGTTACATTTCAATACTTCTACGTTACGCATGAAATTCACAAATAAAGCTACACTAATTGGTGATACAAATGTGTACAGCCATGTTTCGTAGAAATTAAGACTGCACTTGCTCTGTCTCTCCCGTCTCGATATCATTAGTCAGGGGTAACTGAGCGCAAGGGGAAAGTGTGCGCTGGAGCTATATCTCTGGAACCGAGGAAGAGGGGAAGGCGGTTTGTTTAGGTCAAATCAAGGCGATTGAGTGACTAATTCGTTTCGATTTGGCAAAGGGACGCGTGGACTCCCAAGCATTACACCCATATCTAAATATATACTATAAGATATCTAATAGAATTTAATTCGATTGAATATTTTTAAGAGTTCTAATTCCCTCAAAATATCTCGAAGAAGGTTTCTAGATAATTTAAAGTAAAAGTGGGCACAACTTTATTAGTAGATCACAAGAGTGCTTTGAGACACTATCTGTAGGTAGTATTAAGAGTGATTCTCATTGACTTACAAATAAATGGACGACGGGTCTAATACAAAAACCACGAAAAAAATGTCCCAAGTCAACCTATTCGAAATTTAAATTGTAATGTCATCGCAGTATCGCGCTGTCAGTAGAACAAATGAAGACTAAAGCGGAGTGTCGCGCTCTGTATACGATTTTAGCGCCTTACAAGTGCGGACACTTTTTAGCGCGGACCCGACGTCCATATAATTGTAAGTCAATGGTGATTCTTATCTTTTTTCTGAAGTAACCCTTCTAGAATGCTAAAATGCTTCGAAAATGTGGGGATTCTAATATTTTATAATTTTATTTAATCTATCAATTGCTGATGCATCGCTAGTTTCATCGTTACTGTTAGAAACACTGTGATGGACTATATCGACGTGTTATTCAACATCGCACCATATCTCTCATATTATTAACAAGCAGCTTAAATAGAATTATTTAATAATAATAGATTAATAGATCGAGTCGAGAGTCGGTGCATGTTGAGTTCGCGATTCTTTCTCCCGCTTCCACACCACAACTTACTACTCGTCAACTTTAAATATTAAATATAGGTCTAAACTCAATGATTATTTCTAACGTTAACATATTGTCACCAAATGCACAACAAATAATCAATTTACTTAATTTTGTAAGGCAAAGAAAAATGACCATTTAGTATTCTACGTCCATAACTATGTGGACCTAATCTCGATTCGTCGCATCCTCGTACTCCCACTTTTGCGTTGAAGTCACCCATTACCACGCTGAAATGTTGTTTTTTTCTATGTAAATAATAATATTTATTTATTCACTCTCACAACTAGCTAACTAGACCTGTGTTACAGATCTCCAGTCTCCCAATCCGTTAGGAATCCGTGAGTGAGTGAGTGACTGAGAATCCAATAGAATCCAAATCTGTGTTTAAATTATTTATATTATCGTATGTAATGTAAAATATTGTTTTAAGGGTTCTTGGCAGAGTCACCTAAAGTAAGAAACAATTTTCTTATTATACCCAACATAAGGTGTGTATGGAAATTATAGCACAGTAATATGTTGGAGAGTTCATAT